TTATCTTGAGGGAGTGATTCTGAGAGTCCAGTAGTTTAAATCCGACCATAAACTAGCTTCACAGACTCTGTAGGGGAAATCAAGCACATACTTCTTGTTTTGTGATAAGCCTTTTTCATTGGGGAAGAAAACAAATTTTGAAAATCTAGGGACCAGCAGATGGCATAATGGTTGCATTGCTAGACTCCCATGTAACTGGCTGCATTCGAATCTCTGACCCGGTGGCTTAAAACTCATGCCAAGTGCATATGCATGTGTGCCCACCAAAGATTGAGAGAAGAAAATGGAGGAGATGGAACTGCAGTGTGGCCATCCTCCACTGGAGGAGACGGTGATGTCTCACTTTCCCTCTCTCTGGCTCTCTCTGGCAAGTGCTCTGCTCTATGGCAAGCACCAAACAAACAAGCAAACGATGCATAAATTATTTTGACCTCAAGAAATTTTAATTGAGGTAAGGACATAAAGATTAAAAACAAACTTGGACCTCGATGCTGGCTTAGTTCTTCTGGCTTCTTTTAGAAAAGGAGACATTTTTAAAATGAACTTTTAATTTTAAAATAGTTGTAGATTTACAAAATGTTGTAGAGATTGTACAAAGAATTCCCATCTACTCCTCACTCAGCTTCTTCTACATCTTACCTTTCTCTGTGTGTGTGTGTGTGTGTGTGTGTGTGTGTGTGTGTGTGTGGCTCCAAGCAGAAACTCTTATAAGGAGTCTAAATACTAAGCAGAGAGAAAAGAGTTCAAAATGAACGCTGGAGAGTAGCTGAGAAGTAGAGAAGACTGCAAGTAAATGCCACAAATAAGCCAAGAGTAAGCAGAATTCAGTTCAAATGAGTACCTCCATGGAGCAGTGGAATCCTGACATCCATCTCACACCACATACAGACTTCAATTCCAGCTGATTTTAGGTGTGAATGGTAAAATTAAAACAGTGAAACTGTTACAAGATAACATAGAAGAATCTTGATTTTGGAGGTACATAAATTTCTTTTTTATTTTTCTATTGGGCATGTGTTCACAGGGGGAAAGAGAGAGAGGGAAAGTGAGAAATGACTGCCCCAATGGGGATGGCCATGCCGCAATCCCTTCTCCTTCAGTCTCCTCTTGGGATTTTGGATACACACCCGCATGTGCCCAGCATGTTTTCCAAGCCACTAGTTCTGGGATTCAAACCACAGAGTCAGCCATGAGGGATACAGTGCCTCAACCACCATATCACTTGCTGGTCTGTCTAAATTTCTTAAATTGAACATAACGTTGGTTGCCTGTATATTTCTATCATTCATTGGGTGGATAACAACTGAGAAGGGGCATGAGAGAGATGCTGGGATTCTAGTTATTTTCGATGTTTTTAGCCTAATGGTTACCTCAGTGCTGCTATTTCGTAAAAGTTCACCATGCTAGACACTCGTGATTTGGGTACTTTCCTGTATGGACTTGCAGAACCTGAATTCTAGAGTCAGGATAGAACACTAATTTGTGAAAAACCTTCAACTGAAAAGTATATAAAATTTTTCACCTAGTGGTAGCCATACAGGTTGCATGTTTTAATAGGTGTACCCTTCAAGAACAGAAAAAAGAAGAAAAACCATGGCTCACAGATTTTTTTTTTTTTTTTTTTTGGAGAGGTTTTCGCTATAGGGCATGTGTGCTCACCAGACAGACAGAGAGAGACATAAAGACAGAAAGCGAAAAATCACCCCCCAGGGGGGATGGTCACGCCGCAATCCCTTCTCCTCCATTCTCCTCTTGGGATCTTGGGCATGCACGCACACATGCCCGGTGTGAGTTTTAAGCCACCGGGTCCGGGACGCGAACCGCAGTCGACTACGTGGGAGTCCAGCAACATAGCCATTACGCTAACTGCTGGTTCCCTCACAGATGTTTTTATGGTGACATGTAGGCTGCTAAAAATCTGACGGTCTACTGGAGGCTCATCTCTGCACTTCTGTCCATTACACTTGAGAGAAAAATGAGGAGATGGCTCTTGGCTGGGGTAGCTCTTGTTTACCCAAAAGACCACAGGGACTCCCATCTCTTGAATCACATGCTTAGGATTAAGATCTGCTTTTGGGCTGCAAAAGCTCCCAGGGCTGCTAGTAGCTAGAGCTATACGTGTCCCCCCAACTGTTCCTCGTGCTTCTTTCCTTCCCTTACAACCATTGCCCACCCTCTCCGTGACCCTCGTCCATCATTTTCTGAACTATTAAAGGGCTTTACTAAAATACAAAGTGACGAGAGTCAGAAGAAGGGTTCTGAGTCAGATTCTACACAGCATGAACCTGAAAATTTGTCATCTTCACAAGCATCCTGTTCATCATAGCCGCGGCCAACCTGCGTTCTGTATTCTGGAGAAGTTCCATTTCTCTGAAAGGGGCTTTTATCCACCATTTCCTCACTATTAAAAGTAATGCTCTGGGGACCAGCAGTTAGCGTAATGGCTATGTCGCTGGACTCCCACGTAGTCGACCGCGGTTCGCGTCCCGGACCCGGTGGCTTAAAACTCATGCCGGGCGCGTGTGCGTGCGTGCCCAAGATCCCGAGAGGAGAATGGAGAAGAAAGTATTGCAGCGTGGCCATCCCCCCTGGGGGGTGATTTCTCGCTTTCTGTCTCTATGTCTCTCTCTGTCTGTCTGGCGAGCACACATGCCCTATAGCAAAAACCTCTCCAAAAAAAAAAGTAATGCTCTGATAAATAGTTTTGAACATTGACTTTTGTCATCTTTGGCATTCCCTTAAAACATATTCTTAAATTCCAGTACCAAAGGCATGAAAATTTTATTAAATGTTTAAAAAATATGTAATATTTACAGATTTCCCTGTTTTTACTTATTCTTATTCTTATTGTACTTATTTAGTTTTAGATGTTTGCCCTAAGGCACAGGTACTTGCCAAAGAGAAACAGAGAGAAAGTGAAAAATCCCCACCCAGGGGAGATGGCCACACTGTAACCCCTTCTCCGGTATTTTACTCTAGGAATTTTGAGCATGTACGTACATGCACCCAGAGTGATTTTCAAACTGCTGGGTCTGGGACCCAAAACACAGTCAGCCATGTGGGAGTCCAGTGCCTTAACCACCACACCATCTACAGGTCCCTGGATTTCTCTGTTTTTAAAAAATTGAACCATACTGATAGTCATACTGGGGAACTTTGAGAAGTTCATGGAAAATGGAATTAAAGTATAAGGTCACTTTGGTGTAGAAATTTTTGAAATCTGTGCATAATTTTATCCATAATATGAATTTTCAAGGAACTTTTGATAACTGGTCATGTAAGTATTTAATAAATATTCTCATCTCACAATATCTTCACCAACACTGAGTGTTAACGTTTTAAATGTTTGCTTATTTGGTACCTCAAATAATAATATATTATTTTAATTTGAATCTGTCTATAGGTTAGGTTAATACTTTAACAAAGTTTTTTGATGTTGTTTAAATAAATAATTGAAGCATTATTGTATGATAATCTCATAAGGTATATCTCAGTGAAAATTAATAACTAAACAAGGATTAAATGGAAAAATAGGCTCATATTTACCCGTATCTATAATTCCAGGAAGAAGACAAAAAACAAGTTATTTACCAAAACTTATTCTTCTTGCCTGGACAGTGACCTCCAGCATCTCTTAGAAGGGATTGCAATGAGTCTTTTAAATACTTCAATGAAGGTTTTTGCCTGGTTTACTTAAGTTGTGGTGGATATTTTTAAATTCACCTTCCAGGGGAAAATTGATTCATGCTATTTTCTATTTCTCCGTAATTTCAGGGTTCTGCAATTTACCTGAGAACTCAGAGAACTAGCAGAAATACCAGAAAATGCTGCCCAAATTGCCGTGTGCAATTTACTGGGCCACAGGCTGCTCCTTTCTCAAAACGGCTCTCACATTTCTGATAGAATATAGACAGCTGTTTCCTCTCAAAAATGTATGAAACAAACCCAAAGAGGAGTTGGCAGTTTCCTAAGTGACTTATTCAATTAATGGACTTCTAAGGGAAAGGCTTGCAAACCCACTTTTAGAATTCTCTCTCCAGAACTGGCTGGCCAAGATACTGAGTTTTATGAAAAAGGCACAAGGCATACGAGGCTCTAGCAGTCTACTTGATGATAAGAAGTGGGCTCTGGCATTCCGTGTGGACAGGAAGGAGTGGGGGCTGATCTCCTGACCACATTCTCCATGAGTCTGTAGGTCAATGTATTGTGAAAGTCCCCAAAGAGCCCTGGCTTTGGGTGTTTAGTGGAGGAATGGGTTGGGGCAGGAAGGAAGTTCTAGCCAATAGGACTTCTCATAAGGAATATTACAGTCAGAATTGAGGCCTCAA